ACATTTATCTTCTGCATGTAAGAAATTAAATTTAATTAAATTTTTTTTCCAATACATTTTCAGACAGAGGAAATCCTTCCAGCTCCTGAAAAGTGAAAGTTCAGAATTTCTAAATCAGTCGTTCCGGTTTTAGAGTCATTCCAAAAATAAGGTTCATAACCTTTCTCCTTTAGCTTGAAAGCATTTTAAAAATATGTTTCCCTTAATCCCACCTTTATTTCCTTACAACTTACATATAAGATATGTCACATATAAGAAGCATATTGTGACATATAGTATTTTGAAGGCGACTTATTAGATTGATCAATGTGATCACATTGATAGTGCTCTGTTATTGATTAACGTCTGCGGTTCTCTTATTTGTCCTTAGCCATCATAAAAGAAAACTAATTTCATGGGAGGATAAAAGAGTCATTCACATTTTATGTGTTTATAAATATATATAAATAACATTTATAACTCAGGACAGGTTATAACTTGAAGGCAGAATTGACAAAAAAGAAAACAACTCTTACACAGGCTGAACATATATCCTTCAGGATTAGCGACTTGCCCTACAGTGTTATTGACAAGCAGGCATAACCCTGGCATTTTAACACAGGATACCTGTGTTTTATTAATGAACGTCTGGCAGTTTGCCCCAAACTGACCATCTTTATATAATTATTGTCAGTTCTAAGCCCAAAGAATAAAACTCATTGATTTATTTTGTTTCTTTTTTAACTACTTCTTCAGTTTGTGATACAGCATTGTCTTTTTATGACCTCTACAAAATGAGCCTTTTTTTATATATGAATTGTAAACAACCATCATCCATTAATGTTTATCCTAATCTTATCCTGTACAGGGTCACTGTCGGTTAAAACCAATCCCATCATACGCTGGGACAACAGTGGATTAACTGGAGAAATCACGTCACGGATTTATTTGTTTGTTTAGCTAAGGGATTTTTTTTTTTCCCTACTATGGAACATTTAAGGAGTTAAGATCATTCCGTCTAAGGAAGGGTGTCAGTGGTTTAAATAATTTTTTTATTTACAATTAAATTACTTTCCTTCATACAATAGGCACTCTTGATATGATAAACGATGAACTCTTTCCCCATTTTTCTTGTTTTGCTTCTGCTCTATGCTCCCATGACAAAAAAACACAGAACCCCCCGCTCAGTAAAACCTATAGACAACTGCTGCTTCTATGTCAGAAAGGCGGCTGATTCCCTCTCAAAAAAGACCTTAATAACACATATATGTAAAGCCAGAAAAACCCCAGCTTTGTTATGTACATATATAAACCGTCATCCATTTTCCATCTGGTGACCAAAAAAAAAATAAACTATTAGTCTTCACTCTACAGAAACTGTGATACAACTTCTACAATCAAAAACCTGTCACTGACATGTTTTGTTATTACAATAAAATGGAAAAAATTAAATAGAAAAAGAATCCCTGACATGTAAAATAAGTAAATGCGGTCAATGTTTACTTTCAACTTCATTTCCTTGCGATAGGATCCCCTTTCGTGTGTTTCAGTCTAGCCTTCAACCAAACTATGTGGACGAAAACAAAAATAAACATTTACAAAGTGGGATGTAGCATTTCAGTGCACTTGTTTTTTTTTAAATCATTGTGGGCCCATTTTCAGGGTAAATGGCATGTTGTGTGGCAGTGTATTCTCATTATCAGTTTGTATGAAATCGTACGAAAAGTTATGCACAGTATTTCGTACGTTTTTGACGTTTTTTTCGTCATATTTTGTCGTATTTTTACGTCTTGCCTCGAGACAAGATATCCTTATATCTTACGCACCATTCAATAACATAGAATTTAACATACAATTAACCCTAACCCTAAGATACAAAACAGCAAGCAACCTAGTGAGATACATGAAGAAGTAATTATTGCACTGTCCGTCCCAGTTTTACGTCTGTCCGCGAATCTGCTTTTTTCGTCTCTCTGGCTTTTTTTCGTCTGTTTCTTCGAGGAAAAACGTCAAAAACGTACGAAATACTGTGCATAACTTTTCGTACGATTTCATACGAACTGATAATGAGAATATGTTGTGTGGGGACAGGCTGCTTAATGTGGGACCCAATGCCTGGACCCCATGTGGGGAACTGTTGTTTATGGGTCAGGGGACACATTTATGAGTAAAGTGTGAATTGAGTTTATGTTTATTATTGTTTAGGTGTGCATTGGTGTGTGTGTGTAGCAGCAAATTATATTCTTAAACGTTTTACTGTAATTTGCATTTTATAGAAACTAGCTAACATTTCTAGTTAATATGTCTATTTGTTGTTCAACATGTGCTCTTCCACCTCGTTGATGATCAGGCTTACAGTGATATCCCACAGTGTCTTTCTTAGTATTATTATTAATAACTGGATTAAACAATCCCAGTGACATAATGGCTGCTTTGACAAGCATTTGTTGATTTGTATTTATTTGTCAGAAGATAAGAGAGATGGAAAAAACTCAGATCGTCACTTGATTTTTTTCTCAAAGGAGCAACTGAAAGATTGTTTTCTTTAAGCAGATGTCTTTTAGCGCGACTTTTATGCCTTTGGGTTTGATTTTCAATGCTGTTTTGTCCTTACAGGGAAATGCACAAAGGCAAGTGTGCACAAGAGTAAGACAGAGAAAACTGCTGATTATTTTAATTATATTAATCAACAATACAACGCTGAGCTTTCCTTCACTATGTGAAGTAAATTAAAGAAAGGGTAACTGAGGGTTTTAAAGTCAAATGTATCTTTCTTGATTAAAGATTGATGAGAAAAATAAGAAAACATGTCAAATATTCAATACAGAAGAAAAAGAGATCAAACAAAAATCTTAAGCCTTATTTTAAATACATTTATTTTAAAGAAAGAGAAATCTAATACAAAATATTTTCATGATCCCACAACCTAAGAGCCATTGTGAGCTTTTATCCCCACACCTAACAGCAGTCAAGATGCCATTCCTTATCCTGTAGAAGTCTTTGCCTCCCTCTGTGGATATGCCTTCCCAGAGGCACACTGACTCACCACCAAATCAATTGGGCTGAACCATGTTGCAGGAAATATATTTACCACAACCGCTCCAGACCTTTCTATGTCTGTTAAATGAGGTCATAGTGCACCTGCTCTTACCTCTTAAAGATTATATGCTTTTTTTAAGCTTTCTAATGTCAACTGTTGTCATATATGTTAAAAAACCATATTACAATTATACCTATGCATAATTCATTTATTACGCAATTTTGTTCATTTCCAATGTGGAAGACACTTTCACTGTGAAGTCCACTCTTCCTGTGTGGATGCTGCCTATTTTATACTAAAAGCCATGATATTAATTTGTGACAGAGCTGGACTTATAGTATGCCAATGGTGGTTTTCTTTGCAAACTCTAAAGTCTCTTCCAAACACTCCAAAAGTGTCAACACTCACAGGGACATGGGATTCACCCCTGCTGAACATGCAAATCCCTGGGTTTTCTCTTTTCCTGTGGAACTCCAAAGGCAGCAACTTTGCGGGGAAGCATGCAAGGCTACATCGACTTAATTCTTTAACTCCTGCTCAAGTTAAGTAGACTGAACCAAATTGCTCTAAAACTGACCAGTAACATTTTCTCTGGGATGCAAGAAGAGAGTGGATGTGGAGTCTATGAGACTAAGAAAACTACAACATACGGCTAGGCTATCCAGAACAGTGTGAATTGGGTTGACCATATTCAATTCTTTTTCCCCCCCAGCATTTTATTGTCATTCCACTGTCACAAGTACAGAGCAATGAAATGGACTCTGCATTTAACCCACCCCCTTGGGAAGCAGTGGGCTGCCATTTGCTGCGCCCGGGAGCAGTGGGGTTAAGGGTCTTTTGCTCAGGCAGCCAGACTGGCAGTCAGTGGGGGTGGTTTTAAACATAACCTCAGGATTCTGAGCTCTATTCCCTAACCACCAGGCCACCACTCCCCTATTTTCCTTCACGCTTATCCCAGCTGGGATCACGAGGAATGCTGGTAAAGAGGCGAGGGCCAGTCTGCACAGGTAGACAGTCCATCGCAGGGAAACAAAGAGACAAACAACAATTCACTCACAGACTCACACCTAAGGAGAATTTAGAGAAGCAAATTGACCTAACAGTCATGATTTTGGACTGTGGGAAGAAGCCGGAGTACCCGGAGAGAACCCACGCACTGGGTGACTCGCAGCAGAATCCCCTCCAACTTCCAGCAGCTAGCTGCATATTTTTTACTCTGACTCCATACTTTCCCTGAATTACAGGGTCTAACCAGGAGATGATGCTTCTCTTTAGATCTCAATGTCCAGAAACCATGACAGAAAGAATATTTTATTACAAAGAATGATGCTTAAAAAGGAATTGTAGGGGACCAGCCAAAGACCAGCCAAGGGCCCATCAAAGGAAGGGGGAAATGTGGAACGGTTACTGCTGTAGCTTTCAAACACTGGCAGCCATCTTCTGCTCTGAAAATATTTTAGTAAACTCACTAGTATATGACTTAAGTCCCATAAGACATTAGTTGAGGACAAATTTTCAACAAAAGCTACTTCACAAGTTTTCCCTTTTTGTAATTCAAATGTTTGTATAATTGGTTTTCCAAAAGAAACTGAAGAAAAAAATCATTAATGAGAAATGGTTATTTGGTATCGATTTAAAATCATTATACCAGTACAAATGTTGTTTTATCACCTAAGAAAAAAAATGCTTATTGAACATTATTTATGTTAGCAAAAATGATTACTCCACCGGCACCATTAAGCCCTTCTGTGGGTGGAACTGAGCAACTGACGGCTCCCGCTTAGTGCCTCTGCTTGGCTTCGTCTGGGACTTCTTCACTGTAGCTGGCTTATGTGCGGATGCAGAGCTCTCTGTCCCTCTTCCCCCTCCCTTCCTTCATTATCTTTATCTGTAGACACACCTCTACTCCCCTTTTTCTACTTTTCTGTATGCATGCTGCATCTTTATTCTTTCCCCTCCCTGCTAACGGAGGTGGGCACTCTTCCCAGAGCTGGTGCATCTAGCAGGTGCAGCCTCTTTCTGTCCTCCTCCCTCGCTCTATCCCCTTCTCTCCTTTTCTCTTGCTCTACCATGGTGCACTCCGCTCTGGTGGATTTTTTTTCCTCCTCCCCTTCTCATTCTTTCCCTGTCTCTTAGTGGCAGCAGCTCAGGGAGGCAGCTGTATGTGCGTCTGCAGCGAAATTGCTACAGGTAAAGACAGCTGAATCGTTGGATGCTGTGAACTCAGAAGGGGGAGGGTTGTTTGGGGAACGGCTCGCCGCTGTGGTTGCAAGTCCTCATTCTGGAGAGGGTTGCACATTTTTAATCATCTCCAAAAAAAAAGCATCCAGGACTGAAGGACTGGCAGAGGATCCCAGCTATCAGACAACACATCCCAGGCTGACTGAGGAGAGCGCAGGCTTTTAAGGAACTAAGGGAGGAGAAAAAAAGCGCCACTTTGTGGAATATATATATTTTTTCTTCACAGTCTTTTCCTGATATTGGTTTGACTTTTGTCTTGTGCTGTCTGATCTTTGCTTCAAATAATTTTCTCTCAACTCTCAGCCCGTCATCAGCCTCCTCTTAAAATTGTATCCCCTCTGTGGCGGAATGTTCCGCGCAAATACATGAGAGGAGGCTTTCTGAGAGCACACTGCAGAATTAACGAACAGCACACTGAGACGGCAAGAGAGCTGAGCGGACAGCTTGGGGGAAATCTGATCCACAGCCGGCCAGAGACCAAGAAGGATCACTCGTTGCAGTTGCAGATTTATCCGCCCAGTGATACTGCGTGACAACACCCCTTGTTGTTTTATGGGGGTTTGTTTTGTCCCCCAAGTCTCACCCTTGTGCTTGTATTTCTTACATATATATATATATATATATATTTTTGTTTGTTGTTTTGCACTTCTGGGAAAAAAAACCCTGCATTTTTAGGTGTGGATTTTATTGGCAGAGTGGGTTTAGCTTGCGCTGATACATGAAAGAAAAATAGTCTCCCTTTTCAGCTACAACTGAATCGGAATTTAAAACAGAAAAGGTTGACTGAAGATGTTCATTGCACCGCATTGGACAACATCCTCCTAGATCTCTAAACTACAAAAAGAGACTGGACCCACCCTACAAGTTTCCCTGATCGCAGTCCAATTGTGGATTTGTAACAAATGCTACATCTTCAAATCGATTCATATCTGTGGATTTCTACGGCACCGACTTCCAATCATTTCTAACAGATGTGAAGACGCACCACCCCACTCATATCTTTTATGCCTCTTTCTCTACTGCTAAAGGATTCCCTTTTTTTCCAACCTTACCTCTTACTTACCTAACAGGGATCCTTTTAGAAGTTTGACATTGGAAATCACGAGTTGGCTGGAACTAAACATACATCAATTTGATGATATGGCTTACATGCAACCTCTCGTATATCTGACTGGGTGTCTCTGAGTGTGAGTGTGGCCAATTCTGCATTTGCAGTTGTATGTCTGCATGTATCTTCTTCAATCCTGCAATTCTCTCTATCCTTGGGATACATTTTTGGATAGCTCTAACTGACAGTCTGTGGGGGAAAAACTTCTGTCTTTCTTCAGTCATTCTTTAAAGTCCAACATTATCGAGAACCATTTTGCGATGTGCTATCAGTTTCTATTGCAGGGTTAACCCTCAATGAACCATAAAGGACGACAGGACAAGATGAGCGAGGGCTCTGGAGCAGCTGTATCCGGGGCAGTGATCCTGGAGGAACCTGAGGGTTCAGGGGGTACTGGGGGCCGCGGAGAGGTGCAGGCTCAGGAACAGGGTCCTTTTCGGTGTGCAGTATGGCCTCGCCAGCAAACATGGCTGTGTGTGGTCCCCTTACTTATTGGGTTTATTGGCCTTGGACTGAGCCTAATGCTCTTGAAATGGATTGTTGTGGGTACGGTGCGAGATTATGTGCCAACTGATCTGGTGGATGCTAATCGAATAGGCCAAGATCCTATCTTTCTCTCCAAGCCCAGTGGGATTCCCAAAGGCCCTGATACTACCACGACTACAACTATTTCTACAGTCGATGGTGGAAACCCCACACCTAGAACTGTAACTGTGGCAAAAGGTAGAACTCGGATTATTGCTACAACCACAACTATACACCCTAAAGGAGGTGGAGCCTCTGGCAGTCAGGTGACACCTCGGATCCCTGGAAATCGTAACGGACGTATACCTTCAAGCTTTACTACAACCACCACAGCGCCACGGACGACCTTTGTAGTTGGAGCAGCGACAACTAGCTCACCTCCAGGGAATCCAACGGTTCTTCATGACTCTACGCAAATGTGGACTACGGAACATACTACCACCGAGGAGGTCTCTACCACACTGACCACACGGGCACATAGCCACCGCAAAACACGTGAGTCTGTTCTATACTTTGCGGTCCTAAAACATCTTGCTTCTACTGTGGCTGCTTGGCTGTAGACTTTAGAGTTTGAATTGACCTTAAGAAGAAGAGTCTTATTGTGCTTATTTTGGAAAATTGTGCTTTAAATGCTATAAGGCTATGTTGCTAAACAGCGATGAATATTTGAAGTTAAATTGATCAAATGTTGGCCCAATTCAGAAGTTTTAATCAACAATGAAAGTAGTTCAAAACTCTTAGGAATAAGCTATACTTTATGTTAGCCTGGTTATGATGGCATTGGACAAAGATGGGTATTTTGTTACATAGATACATCAGAACTTAATTGGTAGTTTGGATATTTAGTTTGTTTGGAATTGTATTTTTAGTATCAGTCTTTCTTGGTTGCATTGCAATGAGAAATTAGTTATGGAAAAATTATTAGACCTATAGACCCCAATTCTTTCTGTAAAATATCTTTAGAGCAAGAATTTGATACACAAGGCTGGTCTAATAATCATTGTTCTCTTGCTGTACATGCTGTAAAGGTTCCTACATATGTGTCTACCTATCAAAACTATTGCTTGCACCAGGCTGAGTGATTAAAAATGTTTGCTTCCTGAGGAGGAGGTTGCATTGATACTGCATGTACACTGAGTGGTGGTGTTTACCTGTAACTTCCAACTTACATAGTTGTGTTACTTAAATGTTGTATTTTTTCACCCTTCTCCTGAATTGAGGTAGCCATTATTCATATCCCATGTTACTTGAGGGAAACAGCAGGCTGATCAATTTGTTGATTGATGCTGATTCATCACTTTCTGTTTTCACTACCTATGCCCTTGACTAAAGTTATGTGAGCGCCCATGCTATTGATTGATTAATTGATTAACGCTACGGTGGGATTCTTTTTTTGCTGCAATCAATGACTCTCGCCGACATACATGTACACTGAGTGTCTTCTATGATGGATACTTTTGCTCTCAGAATGGTGTCACTTTGGGTGTTTTGTTTGTTTTATTGTTTGTATGGCTTGAGCTGCTAAACAACTGAGTGTTAAATGGATTTGAATTTTTCCAGCCTTTGTATCATGTCTTCTACCTAAAAGAAATTGGAGAGCAGATAGATCTAGATGCATTCAAGGGACATGCTGTCCTGCAGTTTTGCATTGCAGTCATGGCCCCTCTTGCAATTTGTTTTCTTAATTTACATAAAAGTTTTCAACTGATGTACCTAGTGAGATTGCTTGTTTCAATTGTTTGTTTCCCATGCCTAAATATATACTATCAAAAATAGTTTTACTTCAAATTTCTGCCATTTTTTTGTTATGCTGGAATTTATATGATATTCCAGATCATAAAATTTTAATTTATAAAACTGCATGGTTTTTCAAATCCTTATAATAGCAAGCAATCAATCTTGCAGATTGCCATTGAGGAACTTTGGTCCGGTCTTCTATGGTCAGTCGATAATTGCTTGGCAAAGCCCAAATCCAATCAAATCCAACTGTAAGATAAACTGAGTCAGTTTAGTATCTAAATTACACCTACATCTGGACACTGACTAGAACTCTACAATTTTACTTTACTTGGACTTTTTAAGTTTGGGCTTTTTGGTTCACTACCCAAGTGTACTTAAGCTAAAGATCGGAAACTTATGCTGTCATAAGTCAGAAATAGAATATTATAGTTAATTTAATTAATATTTTAATTCCTGTTGAAAAATTCATTCAATTATTTGGAACACTCAACATGTTTGAGTTTGGTCCACAGTTTTCTTCTAACTTTAAGTGTGGATAAAATGTAGTTAGCATATTATACTTTCAAATTAAGTTAAAGTGTAACACTTAAACTTGTCATATAGTATAGTATGTGCACATTATATTCAAACTGCAATGAATATAATTTGTTCTTATATTAGATTAGTATTAGTTCTTTGGGGGTTTGTGGCCTTCTCTAAGAGTCCTTTATGCACTCGTGGATTACCTTTGAGGAATGTTTGGTTGATCAAGTGACTTTGTTTTTCATTTGTTTTTGTATCTAAACTGCAAAGATTATCCATATAACTAAGTCTTACATTCTTAGATCCAGCCAAAAATCTTTTTGATCTTGTTTCGACACTGACAGATTAATCCGTTGGATTATTATTCTTTTTCAAGAAGATTCTAACACAAACAATGCAATTATCAGCCAGTGCAGAATGATAATGGTATTTGGTAAGACTTCTTTAAATCAGCAGTGTTGTATAAAATACTGAAATCTCAGAGTCAAGTAAAAGTATAAATACCTCTCCAAAATAGGACTTTGGTAAAAGTACAAGTCACTGACTGAAATGTAACTTGAGTAAAAGTCTTAAAGTATCTGAAATGGCTTGTACTTAAGTATAAGAATTACTGTAAAAATAGATGTACTCAAGTAATGTAGTGAAAAGTAAAAGTAAAAAGCAGTGCAATTGGAATTACATTTTTTTTAACATTTTGGTAAATTTGACGGTTAAATTCACATTAAATAATATAAACAACCAATTGTAGGATAAATTTAGACTGGCTTTGCGAAACAGGCCTATCCTATTGGTGTTGTTGAACAAGCCCTGGCAGAACCCGACTTTGTAGTCAGTAGGCGGGGTCAAGACACTTTGGTTTCTCTTGCTCGTTTTTTTCTTCTTTTTTTACTTAGTAACTAAACCAAACATTGAAAATGTATCAGAGTAAAAGCATGCAATTAAATTCGTAAGTGAAGTAAAAGTGAAAGTTCTCAAAAAAAATTATACTCTTGAAAAGTATAAAGTACTCCAAAATATACTTAAGTGCAGTGGAAATCAGGATATTCTCTAAACAAGAATTCTTACCAAGTCGAGTTATCTTAATGCACAGGCAGATTATTGCGCATATTGTGAGTGGAATCTTTTTAAAAGGAGATTAATAATCTAGCAGAATCTGCTCTTGCTAGTGTAACAATCAAGTTAAAAAGTATTTTTAGCTAGCTATATGATTGTTAGGCTTGGTTAGATGGACACTTTTTTTCTCAGTGTATTTACACTCAAGCATAGTATTTACAAGTATCAGTTGGTCATTAATAAGAGCATTGTGGAGCTTATTGTCAAATCTGACATGTTAAAAGGCTAATTGATCAAATGCAGTTGTCCACTCACTTAGTCTTTGGTTAGTTTAGATGAAGCTATGCATGGTTTCCTTGTTATGTATGATTATGAAATAAAGCCAAGATTACTGCAGAGACCAGGGAATTTTCCCTCCGACAATACGAACAGCAAATCATTTCATTAACAGGAGGACTAAATGGAAGCCATTCATCATTATCTATTCATTTATTAATTAACCATTAAAAAAGAATGCCATTTCTCAGGCAAGTGCTCAGGAAAGCCCATTAAACCTTGTTGATAGATATCTTACCGAAAATGTCATTCCTTTCTCCAGCCCTCCTAGAAAGTTCTGCTGCTACAGAGTTTCCCCTTTTTGTTCGATAAACCTTAACACCCCTCGCCCTCCCACCCCGTCGATTCCACCACCCACATGCAGCTTTGATTTGAAAAGGCCATCATTTTCACATTAGCTCTCCATTATGTGTAAATGTCTTATGATATTACGGAGTTGGACTGCCTTCAGAAATGGTGGTGGGAAACTATTAGTCTTCCATCTGTGTGCTTTTATCCGTAGTGTCCCTGTCATTTCAGCTTACAGAATTAAGAGTGACATTGTTATTTTTACCTCCACTGTGTTGTTTGGGCTCCTAAAACATCAAGATGCAACTCTTTATTAAACTTTGAATCTAATATATATGTATAACAGCACACTAGCTTTATTTCTAAATGATTTGGATAAATATTTTGCCGAGTTCCAGGCCTGGAGATACCCAGCCTCTTAGCAAAGTGCACTTTAGCTGCTCCCAACTGGATGTCTACAGAGCTTATTTTGGAGGCTCCATATCATCTTTTGACTATCATGATTCAACGCCACTCACATCTCATACATATTTCCAATTTTTCAAAAACATTAAAGATGCATAGCACCCTAGTGCATTGCTGCTTGGTGTAATATGTGGTGACATTCTAGCTTGTCAGTCAACAAGTCAAGATCTAAAAAAAACTACAGTATAGAAAGATATGATAGTTAAGCTGTCAGATGTCAGGCAAATGCCACTTTGGAAGAATGAATAACGTGAAAAAAAATTCTATATATATATCTGAAGTGCTCCCTGAGTGATAAGATGCAGAATAAAGCAGAGATTTGATCAAGGTCAAAATTACAATCAGAATACAGGACTAAATGTCAGAGGAGGTCATGGCGATAAAAACAACCTATCAGCTGGCTGTAAGAATATGAGTTGAAGAAAGATTCTCAAAAAAATGCACAAATAAAACCAGTATATATCAGCTTTACATACAACTGTGATTAAAGACTAGAAACAGCAAAAAACATGATCAGAACTTAGATATAAATAAAGAACAAAAACACAAGATCTGAATCTTCAATGGTTTCTATTTAGGTTTCTTGATTTAATCAAAATTGTAATACAGTGTAATATTTGAAATGCATTCTATATAAAAGGATGGTGAAAAAAAAGCTTCACACTGAGCCACTCAGTGGGATTAGGTCAAAGGAAGATTGTCCTGAGTCTTAAACCCAGATTAATAACATCCCTGTCTCTGAAGACAAGAGCAGAATGAGAATTAGGAAGAAAATTGCATCAGATCACCTATCAGTCACACTCTACATGGGTTTACAAGCAGCAGCCTGACTCCTGGAGGATTGTTTTGATGCATGGTCTGAAGCGGGATGTTTTTCATGAAATGATGCCTGGATGACATGTTTAAAGCAGGGCTTTCTCTTTGCTGTGTTTCGTTATCCCTTAAGGGTACTTGTTTAAGAGGGCTGGAGAAATAGTTTATGCCTATATTAATAACATGACAACTGCACCGAGTAAAATTATGTTTGACAATTTCTTTGAAATGCTGTCCTAAAGTATTCAAAATAAAAATGCAGAAAACATCAGAGGTTA